CTATCTGAAGCCTAGTGACTTTTCATTCTGGGAAGTTTTCTTATATTATTCACTAATAACTTCCTCCCATTTATTTTCATTCTCCTCTCTTTCTGGAACTCTAATTAGACAGAGGTTGGACATTCTAGATTTTTTTCTGTGATTTTTTTATTTTTTTTTAATTTTATTTATTTATGATAGGCACACAGTGAGAGAGAGAGAGAGAGAGAGAGAGGCAGAGACATAGGCAGAGGGAGAAGCAGCTCCATGCACCGAGAGCCCGACGTGGGATTCGATCCCGGGTCTCCAGGATCGCGCCCTGGGCCAAAGGCAGGCGCCAAACCACTGCGCCACCCAGGGATCCCTCTGTGATTTTTTAAATCTTTCATTTCCTAGTTTTCATGATACTATTTTCTTATGCTGTTATCTGAGATGGTGCCTTAATTTTTCATCCATTCCTTCTATTAAAATTTTAATTTCAGCATTCTTATTTTTATTTATAAGAGCTCTTTCTTGATCTTTGCTTCTTTTTAGCATTCTGGCCTAGCTTTGTGGATACAAGCTATTTGTTTATCTTCTTGAAGATACAGACAATCCTTTAAGAAGCATTCTTCTAAACTGCCCTGTTCCTTTTCTCTGAGTTTTAGTTTCTGTCTTTCCCTAAATGTCTGGTAAGCTTTTGGCTGCCTGTTTTAATTTAAGCACTTGAAGATGACTGGAAGACCTGAGGGGATGGGAACAATTTGTTGCATGGTAAATTTCTCTATAGGATAAAAAGGTGAAACACCAGAATTTTATTGAGGGGAACTCCAGGGGACCCAAGTGTCAGTTCTGTAGGTGTTTTCTCTTCAGTCCATTTCCTCTGGAAGCAATTCACCAATCTCCTGGTAGCTGACGAGGGGTGTAAGCCTGGCTGCCACCACTCTGGAAGCTGGGCAAGGAAGGGTTGCTGAGGGTTTTAAGACTACTTTTAGTACAGCATCAAAGCTCTGCACAGAGTAAGCCTCACATCTCCTGCCAGGGTGAGGGAGGAGTAGGCTCTGGTAGAGTGGATCTGGGGTCTAGCTGTTCTGCATACAAACTTTCAACTGTCTGCGGCACAAAATTGGCTTGATGTTGTTGGCTTCCTGACCCAGCTTTCTCTGGTCTGTTTTTGGTTACCACTCATTTCCATCCCCTTCTAGCTTCCAAACATTTGTTGACAATCTCTTACTTGCTGGCATTTTTTTCCATTCTCTTTGTCTTTGTGGATTTATGACATTTCATTCTTTGACTGTCATTTCAGTGGTATTTCATGAGAGCAGAGATAAAACAAATTTAAACCGCTGTATTTAATTATCCTCACTTACTAACTCTCTGAAATGTCTTCTGCCCCTATTCCAAGTGTTCCACACTATTCCAAGTGTTCTTCCTGAGGTCACCAAATGGATACCTTGTTGCTAAGTCTAATAGACATTCCTTTGTTTTATCTTATGGTTTTATCTTATTTAATCAGCCAGTAGCAGTTGTCCCTATTGACGATTTGTACTTGAAATTTCTCTGACCTCAGCTCCCATGAACACTCCTGCTTTTCTCCCTACCTACCTAGTTCCTTTTGACCTTGTGAGCAAGTCGCCTTTGACCTATTCCTCTAATCCTATTGTTTTTTATGGTTCTGTTGTAGGCTCTTCCCTCCTTTTTTTAAATTTTTATTTATTTATGATAGTCACAGAGAGAGAGAGAGAGGGGCAGAGACATAGGCAGAGGGAGAAGCAGGCTCCATGCACTGGGAGCCCGACGTGGGATTCGATCCCGGGTCTCCAGGATCGCGCCCTGGGCCAAAGGCAGGTGCTAAACTGCTGCACCACCCAGGGATCCCTCTTCCCTCCTATCTTGAGAATCATCTGCCCAAACTAAATATCTTCATCAGTGGTTTCTCACAGGGTCTGAAATACTTCTCCACTAATAATAATTGTAATCATGTATTAAGGACCAAGACTTCAGTTAAAATGAAATTTTAGCTGGGAGAGTATTTCTTCCCCCATGCAAATGGCACTTATCATGTTCCTTGAGAGATAACTAATGTTTTGCTTATACATATTAAGCATAGAAACACACACACACTTACATGTTACCCCAATGCCATTTTTACTCATCTTTAACCTTCTAGCCACTGTTAACATTTGGGAGTATAGTATCCCAATAGTTATTTATTTATTTATTTATGACTTTATTTATTTATGACTTTATTTATTCATGAGAGACCCACAGAGAGAGGCAGAAACATAGGTAGAGGGAGAAACAGACTCCCTGCAAGAGCCTGATTCAGGACTCGATCCCAGGACCCCAGGATCACGATCTGAGCCAAAGGCAGACACTCAACCACTGGACCACCTGGGTGCCCCTAGTATCCCAATATTTAGATTTAATGTATATTTCACAAACAGAAGGTCGTGTTGTATATGCTTCATTATACCCGTTTGAAACTTAACAAAATATCATGTTCTTGTCCCTGTTATTGGATATTATCAGATACCCTGATTTTCAGTGGCCTCATAGTATTTCATTTTTTGATGTATACCATGTTACTTAGCTCATTCCCCATAGTTAGACAATTAGGTTACATACGGTGTATTGAGTGCCCTTACAGTTGTATATTTGCATACACCTCAGTTATTTCCTTAGTAAAAAAAATGTATGAAGTAGATCTGTGGTGTCAAAGAATACTTGCATTTTCATCTGTGTTGGTATTTAATGCCAAATTGATCTCCAAAATTTGTTATCAATTTCAGTCCTAATAAAATATGTAGGCATTATCTAATTCAGGCATAAAAAAGCTACTATAATTGTCATTCTTTATTATCTTAAACACCATATCATTTCAATATGCATTAATTTGATTCTTCATGTAGTTGGGCTTTTATATATATTTGTTAGCCATTTGTTTTCATGTTGTGTGAATTAACTTTGTTTTGTTTGTCTACGCTCCTGTCACTACTCTCTTCTCATTCTCAGACACATTAAAATCTCATCTGCCTCCAATTTTGACCCCTTCCAGTCCGTCACTGCAGCCAGAGTGCTCTTCCTGAAACATAAATTTGAGTATCACTCTTCTGCCTGAAATGCTTCAATGGCTCACATTGCTCTTTGGATAAATTGCAAAGTTTGCAACATGCCCTACAAGGCCCTGCATGACTGCTAATTCCCCAGCCTTTGGGCAAGAGAGAACACATCCACATCCACATAGTCTCTGCTTACCTAACTCCTACTCCTCATGTGGGTCATTGCTTAAAATGAAATTCCTCTGGGGAGATTTCCCTTAATGCTCAAGTCCCTACAGGTGGGTCTTGTGTTACACTCCCTTTGTAGTAGCACTTCTATTGCCTATTTCATGTCTTTTCCCTCCATGAATGGTGAACTTTGTGAGGCTGAGCACTACAATTGTTTGTCTCCAGTGTACCTAGCACAGTGCCTGGCACACTAGTTGTGCTCAGTGAGTATTGGATGGATGGATGGATGGATGGATGGATGGACAGATGGATTGATAGATGGATGAATGGAAGAAAGAAGATTGGGAGGCCAAGACGAAATTTCATGAGCCAATTTTCTGCTTTAACTCTTGCCCTAAAGAGGTTGTTGTCTTCTTATTCATCCAATCCTGGAAAAGTGACCCATTCAGTGTGAGACCTGAAGATTATACTGAATTAGTCTTATTTATTTCTCCTGGCCTACAGTTTGTTCCTAAAATATCTCTATTTTCACAAACAGCCAAGAGCTCTTGTTGGTAGAAGTGTAGCACGGTATAACAGCATGAGGATATATGTTTAACTCCTCAACCCCTTCTAGTATTTCACCATAGAGGTTTCCTCTCTGGTCTCCTTACATTTATTTAATACCTCTTCTGTTCACTCTAATTCCATATTGTTGCCAAGTTTATGTTTCTCTTCATTCCATCATTTGCATGCTCAAAGCTCTTCATTGGCTCTGATTCAGAAGGTCTGTCACAGGGCCTCAACATGTATGTTTTGGTCAAAACTGCCCAAGATAATTCTGATGTGTAATCATGGTTAAGAATTGCCAAAGCACAGAAACATTTACCTTAATTTTTTTAAGAGCTGTCTAAATTGGTTAGAATCCAGTGACCATGGTTCAGTTATATTTCTTTTTTTTCCTGACCCTTACTGGTTGTGTGACCTTAGGCAAGTTGCTTGAGCTTTCTGTGTGTCATTTCTTGTTTACACTGTATCTTATTGTCATTTACAAAATGGAAATAACATTACTACACAGGATTATGGCAAGAGGTAAATTAAAGAATGTGTGTAAAGTGCATGCATGGTCTCTTCTATCTACTAAATGCTCAATAAATGTTAGCAGCTGTGGTGTTGTTAGTCATTCGTTTATCCATTCAACAGTTACTTATTTGCCATGTATCCAACACTGTTGTGGGTCATGGGCAATATGAGAGGTACAAAATATAAACCCTGCTCTTGAGATGCTTAGAACTAGCTGGGGAGATAACATTATATAATAATAAATAATAATAAAATTAAATGTAAATATTATAAAAGAGTGAACAAAATACAGTATTCAGGTGAAGGCTTGAATTCAGCCCCAGCATGCTGGCTTGTTGATTAGCATAAAAAAGAGAAAGGAAAAAAAATCTCTCCAACTGCTCTTACTAAGCCTTCAGAGGTCTAGTTTTGATCCTGCCTGCCAGATGGAAAATGATGCAGAAGGGAAAATATCCTGTATTTACTTCTCAAAATTAAGACAGGATGGGAGAGTGTGTTTGAGGGGTGAACATATGTGAATAAATATGGTATAACCCTTAATTGGTTCCTGATTATTAAAATTTAAATGGTTTCCATTGAAAAAACACAGATATGGTATTTTTCACTTAATGAATCAAGCCCTCCGAGTCATTTATTTTTGCCTTGTTGAACCAGAAATCAAACACTGGATAAAGGTTGTAAACCTAAAAAAAAAAAAAAAAAAGGTTGTAAACCTATTTTGATGTATGTTGATGTACTTTTCTTTTCCAGGGTCGCTATGGCAACAGCGTCGTCTCAAGTTCTGATTCCAGACATCAATTTTAATGATGCCTTTGAAAACTTTGCTTTAGATTTTTCCAGAGAAAAGAAACTGCTGGAGGGGCTAGATTATTTAACAGGTGTGAAAATACTGTGGTTTCCTTCCCATTTTAACATATTTGTCTTTCGTTGTTCTCTTACTGTTAAGGTAATCAGAAAAGGACAATATTTGTAATGAAAATGCTTTTAAAACCTTTAAGGCAATACGCGTATCTTTTTAGATGGAATATACTTTAGCTCATGTAAGAGAAAAGAAAGATAACGTGTCAAGTATTTCTGGAGGCAGACGATATACTATCATACCTAAAGGTCAAGAAAAAATAAAGACGTTGCTGATGGATTTCTCCTTATGAGCCTATCAGTAATGTATTGTCACTTGTTGTTGAGGGGGTTAGAACTCAGGTGGCAATTGTGGGATACTAAAAATGTCCTGCATAGGTACAAGTGCCATTCAAATGGTTTTAAGGACATTTGAGGAACTGACCGATTAGGAAGAAAAATGTAAGAAATATCTGGCTTACAGACAGTTTTAGGAAATGAGGGATGCAACTAACCTATTAAAAATGCTGGCTACAAAAAAAAATGCTGGCTACCTTATTGAATGACCACTTCATGAGAAAAATATACACATACAATAACTTTGCATTTGTCATTATTTTTGTTTCTATATGAAAATAACTGTCATTTGTGGGAAAAAATCAGAGAGGGTGACAGAACATGAGACTCCTAACTGGGAAATGAACAGGGGGTAGTGGAAGGGGAGGTGGGCAGAGAGATGGGGTTACTGGGTGACGGGCACTGAGGGGGGCACTTGACAGGATGAGCACTGGGTGTTATACTATATGTTAGCAAATCAAACTGCAATAAAAAATATACAAAAAATATTAAGTCTTCCAATCCATAAACACAAAATAAAATAAAGTGACTGTCATTTGTTGAACATCTGTTTTATGCCAGATGCTGTGTATTAATTTTATATTATAAATATCTACAACAAATCTATAAGGTATTTATCATCCCTTATTTCACAGATGAGGGAACTCATTAATTTGTGCTTGGCTATACTGCCAAAAAATATATGATAAAACTTATTTTAGAATAAAAAAATAGGTCGAAGGTCATGCAATGAGAAAACCACATGACCATGTTGCTCCGATATTTACATGTGTGTTTGTACAGGGAGAGTAGACAACTGGGCAATCACCTCCATACCTTAGGCTTATATATACTTTACCTAAAAATATCATAATCATTGAAGTCCAAGTGGTTTGGGGGAACTTGAGGTCTCAGCACTCGGCTTTGGGTTGTTTGGTGTGTGCCATCTAAAGCTTCTTTTTAAGAAAACCTCCTCTCCTCGAGATGTTGAGTGGGGCAGCAAGAGTAGCAATTGTTAAAATTCCCTAGCAGAGAGTGTGCCTTCCTCACCTTTTTTTCCACCTTTCCTTACAGCCCCAAACCCACCATGTATCCGAGAGGAACTCTGTACTGCTTCCCATGACACCATTACAGTCCACTGGATCTCGGACGATGAGTTCAGCATCAGCTCCTATGAGCTTCAGTACACCATATTCACTGGCCAGGCTAACTTCATCAGTAAGTCATGGTGTAGTTGGGGCCTGTGGCCAGAGATAAGGAAATGTAAGGAAGCAGTAAGCTGCTCAAGATTGGCCGGGGCGCCACGAGGCAAGTGTTTGTAAGACATGTTAGGTTGTTTAGTATAGTGTTTCGTAGACAGTGCAAGCTCCCCCAGGGCTTTGCAAAGACTATTGTTGGGTGGACGAGCAAGTTGTGTATTTCCTTGCTGGGCAGTCACTGGGGCCACTCCTATTTGTTTATGAAATCCTTGGCCTTTCCTCAGTTAATCCATGTCACTCCATTCTCCTGGGTCAGAACCCAGCTCAGAATTCATTCCTGAGTGACTAAGCCACCATCATTCCTGATTCTATGTGTGTGAACATCTATCTCTCTCCTCGGCTCTTCTTCCACTTCATTACCATAAATACATTATGTTTGAGGACAACTACTTCCTTTCCTGTACCTATTTGTATCAGCGACCACAGTGATAAACCTTCTGCCTCTGTCGCTGTCCCCCTTCTCCCTTTCCTCCAAGAATTGCACTGAACACAAACATGTGCCTGTGGGCCACAAAATGAAAGATGTGCAAAAAGACGTCACTGAGCTCACATGTTAGTTTCACCTTCAGATGAATTGGAGCAAGACAAGGCAGGATAGAAACTTGCCTCATCGATTGCCAGATAAGAGGGATCCACCTGCGAGTTCCCCTCTGTGTGGCAGGGAGCCCTGGAAAGCAGAATTAAAACTGGATTCAAGACTGGAACTGATTCCCACCTTCTGGTGCACTCTAGGGTTCCCACCCTGATCCGCATAGCTGCAAATTCATATTTTCTTTTACCTTCACACTTGTGCTTCTGTGTCTGACTTCTGCAGGCCAACATGAGAGGAATTTTTCCAACAAAACCCTCCCAATAGGCTTCCTTTCCCTGTTTTGCAGCAATTCTGGGCTACAGGATGGGCTGGGGGAGGTGAGAGGACATTGGAGGTCAAATTCTAAAAACACTTGCCTCGTGCAGCTCCAACCTAAGCCACTTGGCCTGGGTAGCTGTGCTCCTAGGTGTTTTTTCAGGTTGCAGAGTCACAAACCCTAATGCCTCTCCAGCATGCTTTTCTGCACTTGTCTCTCCTCCTCCAGGAAGTCTTATAGCCAGCGACTGTCCTCCTTCCTGAGAGTGGGAGAGAGCAGTGGTCTCTTGAGAGCTGAGACATAAGTCCAAGTGACAAAGATCTAAAGGCTGTCCTCTCTATTTTCAAAGACATATAGTCCTTTGTAAAGAGGAGCTTAAAGGATAATTCTTAATAGCAATAGGATCATAGCACCTGATTTGGAAAAAACTTTAGAAGTCATTTAGGCTAATCTTCCCTTCTATCAGACAACTAGTAGATGATTTTCCTGTCTCTACTGGAACATTTCTAGTTCCAGTGATGAGTAGCTCACTTCTAACAAAACAACCCATTCAGTTGTTGTATAGCTACGAATAATTGTCAGTGCTTCCTTCTAGAAGGCCTAACTCTTCCTCCTAGTAAATAACAATGACAATAATAATTTATATGTGCATTATGCTTTGCCATTTATAAATGATCCCACATACATCATCTCACTTAGTCTTCATGAGTTCTCCCTTAGCCTTATGAAATAGATGACACCAATTCTGTTGTATGGATGAAGAAGCTGAGGTTCAAGTTAAATGAGTTGCCCAAGGTTACAGAGCTACAAACTGATGGAGTCAAGGTTTGAACCCAACCCTCTCAGACTTCAAGCTTAATGTTTCTTTTTTTTTAAGATTTTATTTATTTGCAAGCGAGATAAGCAAGAGCACAAGCTGAGAGGAGAGACGGGGAGAGGGAGAAGTAGATTCCCTGTGGAGCAGGGAGCCCAATGCCGGACTCTGTCCTAGGACCCTGTGATCATGACCTGAGCTGTAGGCAGATGCTTAACCTACTGAGCCACCTGGGGGCCCCCAAGCTTAATGTTTCTTGAATTACACCCATAGCTACCAATTAGTCCTAGTCCTGTCCTTTTGTGCTTCACTAATAAACCTGATCCATCTCTTCCATGACCATTCTTCAGATAATTTTAGGTAGTTCTCATATATGTCCCTTCTAAATTTTCTCTTCTCTAGGCAAAACATCCTTAGTTCTTCAAATTGCTCCTTATGTGACTTGGTTTCAGGCCCTTTACTGTCATGGTATCCTCTTTAGGCACACACTCCTGTGTGTCAAAATGATTTATAAAATGTGCTGTCAAAAGGTGAATACAGTACTCCAGAACTGGTCTGACCTTCACCGAGGATCTTTGGATTGTCTCTCTTGTCCATTAGCTGATATGCCCCAGCCCTGAACCTTCTTATTCCAGTAGTCACACTGACTACTGAGTGTTGACTACTGAGCATGTAGTCAGTTGAAATCCCTAGGCATTTCAAATCCTTGATTGTCTAAACTGAAATACAACTCCTTGAATTCATCCCTATTACATTTCATCTGATTAGCTTTGACTTCACATTCCAACCTGCCAAAGTCCTTTTAAATCCAGTTTCTGCCTTCCCAACTTGCCTTCTGTGTCTTCTTCCAGTTACTGATAGAAAAGCAGAATAAGGGGAGCCTTGGTGGCTCAGTCGGTTAGGTGTCTGCCTTCAGGTCAGGTCATGATCCCAGGGTCCTGGGATGGAGCCCCAAGTTGGGCTCCCTGCTCATCGGCAGCATGTTTCTCCCTCTGCCTCTGCCTGCTGATCCCCCTTCTTGTGCTCGCTCACTCTCTCTCTCTGTCAAATAAATAAAATATGACCAAAAAAAAGAAGACAAAAGTGGAATAGGACAGGGACAAAGTCAGAACACTGAGCAAAATTTTGTCTGGCAATGAGCAGATAAGACAAAACTATTTTAGGGATTCCTGGGTGGCTCAGTTGGTTAAGTCTCTGACTCTTGATTTTGGCTCATGTCATGATCTCAGAGTCATGAGATTGAACCCTGTGTGCTCAGTGGGGAGTCTGTTTGCCCTGCCCTCCCCCACTCCCCCCTCTCACCATACAAACAAATAAATAATTGTTAAAGATGAAACTATCTTACTGAAAATACATAGTCATGAAGATTCAAGGTCCCAGTCCTAACCATCCGTCTGGCCTACCACTGTTATGCCATGTTGATTGAACCTTGACTCTAAGAGCTACTTTCCCTTGAGGTTTTTCCACATTTTCTCTTCTTAAACCACTTTGTTGAGGAATAATTGACATACAAAAAGTTGTCCATCAACAGATCAATGGATAAAGAAAATGTGTTATATTCGTACAATAAAATATAATTCAACCTTAAAAAAGAAAGAAATCCTGCCATTCATGACAATATGGATGAACCTGGAGGGCATTATGCTAAAGGAAATAAGCCAGACACAGGACAAATACTACATGATACTATTTATTTGAGGAATCTTAAAATAATCAATCTCCACATTTTCTTTAACCAGAAATTTCTTTCTTGTTGGCTAGAATTTTGCCTGGAGAAGTAGTTCCCCTTATTCTTTTTTAAGCTTCTCCCTTTATCTGTAACTATCTCCCCTTGTCGTCTAAGATTTGGAATGGTCACAAGCCAATAATATTTCTGATGGTCTGTTAGCTGAATTCAAACAGTTGTTTGGCTGATTGCCTTCCCCATTACTGTCTATCTTTCCTCTATTTCAGTTTTGTGTTTTGCATTATGAAAGCACTGGCTATACCCTCCATGTGACCAGGCAGCCTGTAATATACTGCCACAAATATGAAATTATTTCCTCTCCTTTTTATTTGCATGCAAATGTTCTCCACCATACATTTACACTCAGGTTCATGGATTTCCATACTGTGGTCTTTCCCTTTTGGACAAGTTGTATAATTCCATTACCATAATTCAGTCATCAACCCCATCTTGCCAAGTCTCAGTGATATCCAGGGAATCCTATATTTTTACCTTTTCAAAATTTAGAAATGGTTTCAAAATTACAGAAAAGTTGTAAGAGTAGCATGAAGAATGCCTGTATACTCTTTACCCAGATTCATCTATTTTTTGATATTGTGTCCTGTTTCCTTTATCATTTGCTAGCATTACCTATGTCTATTTCTGAACCATTTGAGAGTAAATTGCATGCATCATGACCTTTTACCACTAAATTCTTCAGTGTAGGTTTTCTAAGAATAAGGAAACTCTTATATAACCACAGTGTGCTTATCAGCTTTAAGAGATCTGCTACAATACTTTTTCTGATCTCACCATTCATATTCCAATTTTGACACCTGGACCCAATACATCCTTTATAGCATAGAAAGAAACCGATATTGTCCTTTAGAGTTGAGTATCCAGTATTGCATTTAATCATCATTTTTCCCTAGCCCCCTTTAATCTGGAACACTTCCTCAGCCTTTATCTTTAATGACATTGACATCGTTTCTTAAAATGTCCTTTTATTTCTTTATTATACTGTCTCTTATTTTGGGTTCTTCTGACATTTCCTCATGATTTATATTCAGATTATGCATTCATGGCTGGAATACTACATTGGAAACGTTTTGTCCTCCTTAGGACATCACATCTGGAGCCATGTGATGTCCACTTGCCCTTCGTTAATGATGCTCATTTTGTGCAGCTGGTCAAAGGTTTTGCTGGATTTCTTAACCATGTAGTTACTATTTTTCCTTTTGCAACTAATAAGCAATCTGTGTGGTGACACTTTGAGACAATAAACATGTCCTGCTTTCTCATCAAACCCATCAGTTTTTACTCTAATGATTGCAAAATGATGATTTTCCAAATGAACATCCCTTCCTACATTTACAAGTTGGCACTCTGCATTCTACTGTAAGCAAAATACTTGCCCCCTGTTTATTTTTCTACTTATCAGTATGGACTCATGAATTCACTTTCTTCAGTGATTTAGAATTCTTCACTGCCCTTGCTTACTTTGATGCTCAGATTGTCCAGATTTAGCCAGTAAGGGCCATTTATCTCCTGGGTCCTTATATCTTCCCATCATATACTTGAGTACTTCAAGATTCTAGGCTCATATGGACTTTATCCTGCCCCAGCCTTGAAATCAGCCATTTTTCTAAGGAACCCTGGTTCTTTTTAATGGTAGGATGTTATTAGAGAACAGGATCTGGGTACTAGAAATACACACATATACCTATGTATGTATACATATGCACACACGTAATATACATACACACATACCTAACATGCATGTGCATATGAATACACATACACACATATGTAGAAATCATGAGTTCATACCAATACCTCCAACCAATTCCAGTCCATCTCCAAAAGTTCTTTCTTGCCTTTCCCCATTCCATGTTTGTCTGTTCTTCCTTCCACGGTGAGAACCCTGGCTCCTAACAACATCAACACACGTGTTCATTTGTTTAATCCCATAATATATGCAACAGTTTCGGAAGTGCCTTGCCCATACCACTACAGAAACAAACAATAGTTCAGGATTTGTTTTCAGTTCTCCTCCTGCCCCCATCCCTTTGGTGTGGTTGTTTTTCATTTGAAGTGTGTTTGGGTTTGTTGGTATCACTTTGCCTTTGGTTTTAGTCTCCACTCTTTCCCACTCATATTGATTTAATTGTGATTTTATGAATTTATAGAATGACAATGTGTTTCCCAAAGGGAACATAATACAAAAAAGGTGTATTCAAAGAAGTGTCCTCCTCTCCCATATCTTTCTAATCCCATGCCTCTACCCCTATCCCTTATAGGTCATCAACTTCAAATATATGTATGTTCTCTTATTTGCCTTTATTTCTTGTAAAAAAATAGCATACCATATATGCTCTTCTGCTATTTGCTTTTTTTCCACTAACCATATACCCTGGAAATCACTTCATATCATTTAATAGAGATCCTTCTCATTCTTTTTTATAGCTACATAGTACTTCATTGTGAAGTTTTGTTTTGTTTTATACTTTTAGAAGTATATCTGGAAGATCATTTATTTCCCTCTGCAGTTTATCATTCATATTGTGAATCGGCACGTGGATAACCAAGCCCTCCAACATTATTCCTGGCCCTTATCCTTATTGTCTTTCATGAGCATAACTGAGCTTCTTCACCAGTTATTCTTTCTAGGACATCTCTGTTTGCCCTCCACTATGCCTCTTTTTCTAGTTTTACTTTAGACTTTTTCAACCTCCCATCAACTTCATTATAAAGCCCTCATGATCGGATCTCTTTCAAGACACTAATGATTATTATTATTCTTTGCTAAAACACTCATGATTATTTTTAATTTTCAGCCTCACTAAATCATTTATGAGGGTTGCATAGAAGTGACTAAATTTACTGCTCATTTTTCATGCCCCCATTCTTTTGCATGCTTTGGTAGAATTGTGGTTAAAAAGCAGGAAACTGATTAAAAAGCAGATAACAGAAGAAAAGAAGCCTCGATAATTCACAAATAGAACAGCAACCCCTCTTTTACTCACAGTTATCCAAATATGTGTTTTTAATTATGCACATTTTTCTCTGTTTAAGTCAGTGTTTATGGTCCAAAGAGTTTTGAAAGCAGAAACCTAGATCTCTGGGCTTGAGAAGGAAGAAGGTTCCAGGCAACAATGTGTTCCTGGACCATCCAATTTCAAATGAGTATTAGAACAAGGAAGGGGCAAAAATGGGTAGTATCAAGTAAGGAGATGGTAATTTTGGCTTTGTTTTTCATGCCATCTCTTTGGCTTCCCTATGATACCTTGGAGCCTAGTTAGTTTTGGAAGTAAGGGTGAGGATGGGGTGGGAGAGATGAGCCATACATAAGCCCTGGAAGCTTCAATACTTTGCAGGGACAAAGGAATATTGTTATCTACTTCATGAATTGTCATGTAGTGGGTGGAGAGAACACTGGACTAGGGTTAAGGAGACCAGGATTACACTCTCCGCACCATCACCATCTGTCTGTGGCCTTGGGCAAGTCACTTTTTTCTCTCAAACTTAGTTTCCCATTTGTCAAATGAGGGAAATACAGTGTGTGGGTGTCCTGTTGGCTCTGACAGTCCATGTTCCTGTGCTCTGCCCAGGACTGCTCCATCCATACCAGGTTAGAGTCAGCTCTCAGAGGATTGGACCTTTGGTGTAAAGATCCAGAGACTCCATAAAAGTGATGATTTTGTGACTTTTGTAGAGTGGCCTTTCCTATGGTACTGGGCAGAAAACTGAAGCAACCTAACTTTCACGAGTGGTGACATTCAATTATCAGAGGCAGGGAGCCTGGCCTAAGCCTAGCTCCGTGGGAGAAAAGAAACAGAAGATATTTACCTCACTCTGTCTCCTGGGACTCCAAAGAAAACAAAATGAAATTCACTTTTTTTTTGGTGGTGGTAATGGGGGCTTTTAATGAATTGTCAGTGTGCTTCTCATCCTCTATTATCTGCTGGCTAATGTTCTATCTTCCTTCCCTCTTTACAGGCCTGTACAATTCAGTGGATAGCTGGATGATTGTGCCCAACATTAAACAGAACCACTACACAGTGCATGGACTTCAGAGCGGGACCCGCTACATCTTCATTGTTAAAGCCATAAACCAAGCAGGCAGCCGGAACAGTGAACCCACCCGACTAAAAACAAATAGTACGTTATGGTGATTCCAAAAGGAGAGTTCCATTTCTCCTCTGCACCAGGGAGGTCCTGAGCAGGCACCCACAGCAGTTTGTGCTTTGGTCCTGGGGTTTGCTGGTGACCTTGGGAAATACATGAGCACAAAGATACACACAAAGTATATGTAGTAGCAGCTGGTGTTTTGGGAGGGTGTTATTACAGGGTTTTTCTCTGTACCCCATCCCATGCTTGGGGCAAAGAATTGTGTAAAACAGTACTATTTGTGATAATCTGGTAGGATCCTTCTGCAGAGAAGCCATACCTGTTTGGAATGCTTCTGACTGAAGTTGACTGAAAATCCAACTAACTCAGCTTAATAAATAGTATTTGTGAGTAGCTAAAGCAAATAGTATTTTTTTCTCTTTCTCATATAGCAAGAAGTTTGAAGGTGGGCAGTTCAGAGCCAGTGCAGCAGCTCGTTCTATGCTAATGATGTTGTAGAAGACCCAGGCTCCTTCTCCCATTGCATATTGACTCATTGTCACATGGTCACAATATGGCCATTGCTGGGATCCCTGGGTGGCGCAGTGGTTTGGCGCCTGCCTTTGGCCCAGGGCGCGATCCTGGAGACCTGGGATCGAATCCCACGTCGGGCTCCCGGTGCGTGGAGCCTGCTTCTCCCTCTGCCTGTGTCTCTGGCCTCTCTCTCTCTCTCTCTCTGTGACTATCATAAATTTTAAAAAAATATGGCCATTGCTACCTCCAGAGGTCATATTTCATTTTAAGATAGGGAAAGGAAGAAAGGGTTGGTGCATGTGATGGCTATCTCCTTCTATTGGGAAAGCAGGCACTTTCCCCGAAGTGTCCCCAAATCTGTCTGACTTCTCTTTCCATTCACTTCCATCTTATTAGCCACCCCTAGCAGCAAGAGAGGCTAGCAACTGGAATATTTTATAGTTTTTCTGGCCTCTATAGTGAAAGTGGACAAAAGAGAAAAAGCAGGGAATGGGTGTTGTGTTCAGTGTCTGCCACAGACCCATTTTGTATAATCCAGCTCTTGTCACACCCAGCAATTGGCTCCTAGTCACTTGTGTCGTCTTATGGTTCTAAGGAATTCTCTGTCGTGAATGATCCTACACAACAAATGTTCTCTCTGATCATTCATGATGTATCAGACACTCTAACGAAGTCACTTAATCATGTTATTTACATCCCAATTGTAAGAGGGTAGAAGGATGGCCTTTACGGAGTTCTTATTTTTTTGTTCTGTCACCAACCAGCAATAACCTCATCAGTTCCCCTCACACTATCTCACCTTGAATACTCCTTCCCCTAAGACCTACTCAACTCCCAAACTACCCACTGAAATAAAGCAGAGTTTAAAACATATTTGAGAACATGAGGTGCTGAGAGCCCTCTTTTAATTTGATAACATATGGGGGGCAGCTGATTCTTATTTTATTGAAAATGATGCCTTCAGTCTCTATTTCCATAATGTAATAAAAATAGCAGCCAGCTCTCACTGGCCCAAGAATATCAAGAATCATATCAAGAATCCCCTGGTAGTGATAGTCCTAGGGGACAAAGATGGCATTCTTAAATACTTGCTCATGCATTTTCTTCTTCTCTACTTTTTTTCAGGCCAACCCTTTAAATTGGATCCGAAAATGACTCACAAGAAGTTGAAGATCTCCAATGATGGGTTGCAGATGGAGAAGGATGAAAGCTCTCTGAAGAAGAGCCATACCCCAGAGAGGTTTAGCAGCACAGGGTGCTATGGGGCAGCAGGGAATATATTCATTGACAGTGGCTGCCACTACTGGGAGGTAGTTATGGGTTCCTGCACCTGGTGAGTAGATCCTGCTTTTATTTTTTTCTCCTTTTTCCCCCTGTTGTTAGGTTCCTGGGAGATTCAGTTCCATAGTACAAACATAGTACCAGTAAGTCAAGGTTAAAAGACATGTGATGAAAACCACTCCTAGAAAAATTGGCTGGCTTTTGTAAAATCAAATCAAATCAAATCAAATCAAATCAAATCTTGAGAAACACACTGGGCTAGGAGTTGGAAATTACTCCAGCATTCTATTTTTTTTAAGATTTTACTTTTTTATTCATGAGAGACACAGAGAGAGAGGCAGAGACACAGGCAGAGGGAGGAGCAGGCTCCCTACAGGGAGCCTGATGTGGGACTCAAACCCAGGACTCTGGAATCAGGACCTGAGCCAAAGGCTGACGCTCAATCACTGAGCCACCCAGGTGCCCCGTACTCCAACACTCTAATTGCTGATTTTGTCCGGCTCTCATGCTATCAACGTTATAGGCCTAAAATGTAAACTATTTTGTAAAGGGGGAAGCACGCATTAGAGTTCTTATATATCGCATGTGGTGTCCAGCACAAATCAGATCATTAATAAATGTTCATTTCTCTCTCCTTTCCATGGGCTCACAGGTATGCAATTGGTATTGCCTACAAGTCCGCTCCCAAGAACGAATGGATTGGCAAGAATGCCTCCTCATGGGTCTTCTCTCGATGCAATAGTAACTTTGTAGTGAGACATAACAACAAGGAAATGTTGGTGGATGTGCCCCCACAGTTGAAGCGTCTGGGTGTCCTTCTGGATTATGACAACAACATGCTGTCGTTCTATGACCCAGCTAACTCTCTCCATCTTCATACTTTTGATGTGACCTTCATTCTTCCAGTTTGTCCAACATTCACAATCTGGAACAAATCCCTCATGATCCTGTCTGGCTTGCCTGCCCCAGATTTTATTGATTACCCTGAGCGGCAGGAATGCAACTGCAGGCCTCAAGAATCCCCTTATGTTTCTGGGATGAAAGCTTGCCATTAAGTTTCAAGAGAGCATATAATTCACTGGCTCTCTAGTTCAGCACTTCCTTCCTTCCTAAACCTCAGTTAGTGTCCAATATACAAGATACAAAATAAAGTTCATTTGAAGCATCCAAAATAACTAGATATTACAGATTTAATTTTTGTGCATTAAAGCCTATATTCGAATTAAGGTATTGAGTTTTTCAGAACAAATTGTCTGAATAGTCTGGGTTCAAGCCATTGGAGGGGAAATCTAGGGAATACCTCTCTTATCACTGGAGAATTAACAATTCCCAGTAATCTGGGAGTATAAATTATTTTGGAAGGAATTAAGATAATTCTAAGTAAATAATGTAGAAAGATGCTCTGAACAAGGGGCTAGCCAGCCAGAAGGGTGTGCGTGGGCACATGTCAGCCTTTCTAGTTTGGCTAAGTAGGATTTGAAGTGTGGAAGGATCACACATTATATGTAGTTTTTGATAAAAGCCTACAATCAAGGATTTATTATAGCGAAGAACATGTATGTGTATATATTATATATATATAAAATGAATAAATAATATGTTATATATTCATTTTATAATTATATATACATAGTAAATTTTTTGATTTGCTCATTTGAGTGAGAAATATAGTGGAAGGGAAACTAAATTATAGCATCCATTTTTGTCCCCTAAAGGGAACATCAAGATCAGGCAATATTTCCTTCCTCCCTCCATTCATTCCTCCCATTCTCTCTCCTGTCACACAGACATTCACGTGCAATAATGACATTGATGGTGGGAAGAGCTCTAAATTGGTTTAAGAGAGTTTGAGGGACAAGATTGCCCAAGAGATGCTATTGCTGGGCAGAAAATTGATCCAAGTAGAAGCATTATATGTAGCACGTTTCACTGAGGCTACCTAATACAGGAGGTTCGTCTGAATTGTTAAAAATTCCATCACAGAATGTCTCAAAGAAATAGTTTTATTACTGTCAAGTACATACAGTTACTAGAATTAGGCTAAAACAAGAGTTGCACAATGGACGTTCTTTAGGAACTTTATTTACTTAATCAGTAAGAATGGAGTGTTTTAGATGCAACAACCATTTCCATATAAATGTACTTGTATTTTCAGATAAAACACTTCTGAAGTGCTTGAGAATGCCTGAGAACCGTCTGTTTTCTTAAGCAGGTTAAAGGATTGTTTCCTATGAGACCTTGTTTACACTATTCCTCTGCTTTAGCCAACCCTTCCTGGCAAATGCAAATGTAACTTTCATCCCAATCTTCATCACTATTGTTGAAGGGCATCAAGTTTTATGGTCTCTGCTTTTGTCAGTTTCACTGCAGAGACTGGGGATGTCAGAATCAGAGCTTTCTCCTTCCCAGCAGATAAGTCTGCTTCAAGGAGTCTAGCGAAAATATTACTTTTGTACAAAGTGGTAGCTGTAACAAGCCACCAGACTAGAGTCTTGAAACAATGCTAAAACGTCTCCTCTCTTCCTTTCAACCACCTTGGTGGATATTCATTCATTCATTCGTTCGTTCGTTCAACAAACTACTAGATGCTGGGTACCACTCTGCTGCTGATGTATCGATAAAACACAGTCCCTTGTTGTCAAATGCCTTACTATTGTGTAGGAGAGACAAAGTATCTATATAAATCCCCTAAATAACAGCTTTGTATTGTTTATTCACCTAACATGGAAAGCAGGACTGATGCCCATTCAGATGGCAGACTCAAACTTACGTATTCTAGCAGCAAAGTTGGCTTTTTGGTTAAAAAGCCCAGATGTAATTTCTGCTAATTAGGAAATGAGCAACTTCAGTCAGATCCAGCAGTGCTAGGAAATAGCTTGCTGCTGTGGAAAGCTTATACATAGCCTTTGGACTAAAACAATCCTAGTTCTAATGCCATTTACGAGCGGTGTGACCTAGGATATAAGCACTTCACTTCTCTGAGCCTCTGTTTCCTCTTCTGTAAAATAATACCTACCTCACAAGGCTGTTGCAAATATTTCAAAAGATAGCACATATAAACTGCCTAGCACAACACCTGGCATGTAGCAAAGTGCACAACAAATATTAACCTCCTCCTCCCAGCTCCAGCCCCAATACACTGTTGTGGTGCTTTAAAATGTACGCCTTTCATTTCTGAGTTACTCTGGTCTCTCCTGGGGGAGATTTTAAACAAAATAAATGATTTTCCCCCTTCATAAAATCTCTCAGTGGCTCCCATAACATTCAGTAGAAGGTCCCATTTACTTAGGGTTGGGCTTTTCAGGTTCCTGTTTGCTTTCCCAGCTTCATCTTTTGCCACTTTGCTCCTTACACTTGTTACTGTAGACATAGAGTACATACTTCATACCAGTTGTTCTCTGGGCCTGGAATAGAGATATTATTAACAGTTTTGATGCCCTGAGTAAACAGGGATTGTTCTTACATTAAGGGAACAGTGTGAAAATGCTACAAAAATGAAGAACATGCCCCCTCCTTCCCAGTCCAATTCTCTTTACTCTATCCTTGGGTCTCTCAAGCTATTCCTTTTTTTTTTTTTTTTTTTGCACTCTTTTGGTTTTAGTGGCCTGGGACAGTTTCAATTTCCCTACCTTACGTTTGACCCTAGCCTGGACTACCTTTCCCCACCCCCTCCTCTCTCAACCAGATTAACTCCTGACCCCTCCCCAGACTGCCCTATGTTCTCTTCTGAGCTCTCATGGTACCCTGAGCATTCCTCACTCCCCCACCCCCGGGGGCCGCTTCTAGCAATAATCACATTATATGGCAGTGTTTTCGAAGTGTGGTGGTCCTCAGACCACCTGTTAGTCACCTCTGGTGTTTGTTAGAACAATTGATCTTAGACCCCACTCCTGATCTACTTAATTGACTTGGCACATAAGTGGAATTTTACATTTTGAACAAGTTCCCAGGTAATTCTGATGCACACAAAAGCTTAATGTATAATAATGATCTTCCCTACTAGACTGTGAATATCTTGAGGGCAGGGACTGTGTCTTTTGTTGTTGCTGTATTTTTAATACTTGGCATGGTGTGTGAAACAGAGTAGTTGCCTGACTAATGTTTATTGAATGAATGTATGAACGAACGAATGAATAAGCAAAGTTTCCCTGTTGTAGTCTGATATACATATCGGTGTTTGTTATTTCCTGGGCAGAAAAGCTTGGTTACTTCTCCATTTGGGCTGTATTGATATTACTTTGCAAATGTCCCAGGATTCATGCATATAAATGACTACTGTCCGCCTCAAAAGCTCTTTGGAAGTTAACTTGGGGAACTGTCTAGAGCGTGTGGCACCATTCTTTTCAAGAACTTTTGAATCTTTTCAAACCATTCTTTGAAGATGAATTTAAGTTTTGGTTAGAGCAAAAAATCACTCAGAGCTTAGCCTACTGAATAATGTAGGAAATTAAACTGGGTTTGAGGTAACCAATGAAGTTTCTGAGTCAAATAATGAAAAGTGCTTTCCAAGAAACAACATGGGGATAAAGCACTCAGTGGGGGTGTGGTGAGTCCCGGAAAACACACTTCAAGGCTTTTGTAGATCGTGGCAATGCCCAGGACCTTAAGAGAAGTCAGTCATTGACTACCTCTAGCTAAATAAACCCAGTTGGACAAAGGGAATAGGACCTGTATTTAATTAACATCTTCAAGGAAGGTGATGCCTTCAGTTTTCATTGTTGTTGCCCTAGTCAATCTATTCTCCTACAATCCTTTCTGCTAGCAGATTATTCTTTCTGTCTGCAATTTATGCTTGTTTCCACTTTTTATATTGTCTTATTAAAGCAAGCACAAAAGTAATCAAAATAAAGTTAAACCTGTTTTGAGAATATGATAGAAATGTTAAATGCCACATTGGAGTTGTGACTACTTGTAAGTAAGAATTACTGCATCTGTATTTTTATCATGTAATTCCATTATGTAACTTTGGATGCAGTGAAATTCAGATTTCAGCAAAATCACTTATATGTTCTTTTCACCTTAAATACACTAGGTGAATTTTCTAAGCTTCCATGGTTTACATATTTATATATGACTACCTGGATGGAGCAATCCATGGATGGACTTTTTGATAAGCTCAAATATTTGATACCCTTTCCTCAACAGAATGGAGAATGTGAGGCTGACATATAAGAACCACTCTCATGCTTATTTCCATTCCTAAAGTCAGCTGCAGCCTTGGAACCATTGGCTGTATTTGGCTGTGTTTTACAGGTTGTCCAGGTTGACTGCCCTCAGGGCAGGTAAAACTGCCTTTTACTTCAGACATATACTGTGTTGTTGTTGTTGGCTAGAATATTTATTAGACTGCCAGACTATTTTTTATCAAATATTTTATCCCAGGCTTGTTTGTACTGGGAGCTCTGGACCACTAGTGTCTCTCCTAGTGACAGAAATCTGAGCATCTGTGGATTACACAGCCTCATCCTTCTAAAATATCCCAGCCATCCAAAATGCTATATTATGAATTAAATAAATATATATGTATTCATGAGTTCTCGATTCTCTCTCACTGGAGCTTAAATTGGGGAAGATCAAAAGGGAGATGGCCGTGGGTTATCAGCATTGTCTAAATGACTTGGTGGAGATCAGTTATCATATTAAAGGTAGAGACTGGGGCAGAGAAGATCCAGGGGGTCTAGAAATCGGGATCCAATCACGAAGACTGGTTTCAGGAGCAGGTAAAAGTCAGAAAGACTAAAGAAATGAAGGTATAAGGCCTAAGGAGACATGCATATTCAGTTTTAGGGATTGAGGCAGAAGATGGGAATTAAGGAAAAACAAAGAAAATCCCACTGCTGGTACTTATTGTTTAAGGTCAGAGTAGGGCCAGAAGTGACTTGAAAACAGATTGTCAGACCAAGGGCCTATAGAAACTATGGCCCTGAGACAGGAAGATGAAAATATAAAAGAGACAAGAATTTGGAATATCATGGGCTTCATGGTCTAACTGGAGAGGTAGCTACCTAGGCAAGGGCCAAATACAGGGCTATTATCCACAGATAAGATTGTGTATGTCTTTTGGGACATGATGTTCAGAAAGTCTGGCTCTAGGGATGCCTGGATGGCTCAGTGGTTGAGCGTCTGCCTTCGGCTCAGGGCATGATCCTGGAGTCCCAGGATCCAGTCCTGCATCGGGCTCCTTGCAGGGAGCCTGCTTCTCCCTCTGCCTATGTCTCTGCATCTCTCTCTCTCTGTGTCTCTCATAAATAAATAAAGTCTTTAAAAACCTAAGGGAATAATCAGAATCAATAAATTAGCCATCGATAATGTGCTAATGGAGGAGGATAGGGAAAGTTCACACCTCTTCCAGCTTCTTACTCTACCTCTTCCTTCCTTCTCAGAAAACAAGAAAATGTTAATAACCTTCTAGAGACAATGCTTTTGTTGTCCAACCTCACAGTGACAAGGTGGGGAGGGCAAGCTATAGACTTTGCAGGTTTGAAAGGGGCAGCAAGCAATGCTCTGGAAGACTTGTAGGGGACATATTTGGGGCCAAGAGCTGTCTTTCAAATAATAGAATATAGATACTAACTCTACTTCCTGTCGGGTAAGTCTTTTACAACAGAATGAAGAGGATCTGCTACTCCAGCCATAAAATGGAATTTGGGCTGGTTTTCTCTTTCATATACAGTGGCAGGAAAAAGCCATTGTGATCTACATGTCTTTTTGTCCAACTTAACTCCCTTGGTGATAAGGGAGGGTGTTGTGATATTCCAGAAACGTGAAATTCACAGCGAGCAGCTGTCAGGCACACAAGTCCAAGGCCTGACTGATTCAGCAGGTAAAGGTACAATGAATCATCTTTTGATTCAGTTTATTATTTACACATTGAAAGAAAAAGTAGTCAAAGGTTCCTGCTCCTGGTGGTCCTTGTCCCAAATACCAAAAAGGATGACACTGAAAAAGGGGCCAGAACACTGCAATGGTAGTTTGGGGCATCCCTTTGCTAAGAAGCCGGTTTTAGACTGCAGCTAAGTGGCTTTATAGTTTGTAGCTCTATTCTGAGAGGGATGAGTCAGGAAGTCTCTTATCTCATCAGATCCCAGGAAGTAGGAGGGGATGAAAAACTCTTAACAGCCTTCCAGGGGAGAGGGGACATAAGGAGGCAGTGGGAGATAAGTAGCAGTGGCCTTGAAGCAG